GGAGGAGGAAGTTCCAGAAGAAGAAGTCTTGCAGACAAAGATCGTTTCTCAAAGAGAAGTTTCAAAAGAATGGGAAAAGTGGAAGATGCCTGCGGAAGATGAGATTCAGGCACTTTTGAACGAAAAAGAAGCGATGAGAAGCATCAATAAAGAGCAGCTTGAGGAGATGATTCGAGCTGCAGAAGAAAGAGGAGTGAAGGTTGAGTTTTTGCCTTCAAAGCTGGTTTTTACGAAAAAGCCAGGAAAGAATGGAGGAAAAAGAAAGATGAGGTGGGTGATTTGTGGGAACTATGAATCCCGAAGTGATCAGGAAAGCAACTTTTCCAGCGGTGCTGACAGCACTGCCTTCCGCGTCATGCTGGTGATGTGTGCCCGGAATCAATGGCAAGCCGGGACGTTGGATGTCAAAACAGCTTTCCTGAACGCCTTCATTGATCAGGAGTCGTCATCAAACCTGATCATTGTCAAGCCACCATCCCTCTTGGTTGAAAAGGGATGTTTGCCCATCGACATCTTCTACCTCCCTGAACGTGCAGTTTATGGTTTGAGAAGATCCCCAAAACTGTGGGGTGAATGCAGAGATGATGTTTTGCGAGTTTTGGAAGTGAAGATTCCAAAAGGAGAAGGTGAAGAAAAGCTGAGGTTGAGTCCGATGGAAGCTGAACCAAATCTTTGGATGATTCTCAAGCAGTGCGATTTGTCTGAAGATGAGGAGCCCCAGCTGAAAGGCCTTCTCATGACCTATGTGGATGATATGATGATTGCAGGTGACGAGAGCGTGGTCACTTCAGTCATGAAAGAACTTCAATCAAAGTGGACGACTTCCACACCAGACCGAGTCAGTTCAGTGCCAATTCGGTTTTTGGGCACTGAAATCACCAAACATGAACATGATGGCCGTGATGTTTGGCTGCTGTCGCAAGAGTCCTACGTGCGGGACTTAGTAGCACAAGGTGGTGAGGAAGTGAAAAAGCGAAAAATCCCCATCACACGCGATCAAAGTTCCCAGCTTGAGGAGCCTGAAGAAGGAGTGACTCCAGAGAAGGTGAAAAGAGCTCAGAAAGAGGTAGGTGAACTGCTTTGGTTAGTGACCAGAACGAGACCGGAGCTGATGTTCGCAGTCTCAAAAATGGGCTCCGCTACCACAAAGTCACCAGACTTGGTCCACGAGATCTACAAGCAGGTCTTGGGCTATTTGCTGGTCCAGCCAATGGATGGTTTGGTCTTCAATGTGAAAGCAGAAGACCCTTGGCTTTTGGAGGCGTTTGCAGATTCCTCATTTTCGCCACAAGGTGAGGAATCCCACGGAGCATTCGTCATCAAGCTCTGTGGATGCCCCATTTTTTGGCGATCAGGACGTCAATCCCTGATCAGTTTGTCAACGGCTGAAAGCGAGATGATGGAATCAATGGAAAGTTTGGTAGCTGGCGAGTCAGTCGCCGTCATAGCAGAAGAACTTCAAGGTGATCTCTTGAAGATGGCTTGGAGTGACAACCAAGCCGCCACTGTCATTCTCACAGCAGATGGTGGGAATTGGAGAACCCGCCACCTGAAGATGAGGGCGCTGGCAGCACGTCAATTGATTGCCAGCGGCGAATGGACACTTCGCCACAAAAATGGCGAACACATGGAAGCTGACCTGGGCACAAAAGCACTCACAAGTGCCAGGTTTGAAATGTTGAAAAAGGAGCTTGGAATTGCCGCCAACACCGGCGCTAAGGCCCACCAAGAAGGGGGTGGCGAGCCCGCGCCTGATGCCGGAGCGCCAACCGCTGGAGGAGAGCGGGGGGCAATGCCCGCATCAAATGGCCATCCAAGCCCAAAGATCGAAGCAGCGAAAGCAGTTTTGAAAGTGGTGCTGCTTTTGGCCGCTGTTCAAGGTGCACAATCAGAAGGTGAAGAAAACAAAGGAGAAAAAGAAGAAGAAAGCTTTAAAGAATTTGAAGTTTTCATGGTGGTTTTCAGCTTGCTGGTGGTCGTGATGACCATGGCCTTTCAATGGATGTGGAAGGTTGGAGTAAGTCGTGTTTTTCCCAGTCTGCCAACGCAGGAGGGAGAGGATGGCCGAAGTCACCCTGCTGAAGTTGATGCTGCGCCACAAGCTGAAGAACCAGAAGTCCCCGAAGAATTGAGCTCTGCTACCACATCAGAAAGTAGCAGCAGTTCACAAGAAGAAGATCCACTAGGAGTTCAACATGCCATTCAGGATATCAATCGAGAAGAAGCTGAGCTCTGGAATCGAATCAGGGCTAATCCAGCATGTTTTGAGAATGAGTATAACGAGTTCGAGAACGAGCAGCTCTCAACTCGAGTTTTCAGAACGCGCTATGGAGTAGTTTATCATGGATCTCTGGAGTGCGGCTATCTCAGAGCTCCACAAACTGGAAGGGCATTTGAATTTCACTGGTGTTATTTTTGCAGGTACGTGGCGATGAAAACGAGGGGACCACCACCACCAGGAGTAGTCTTTTATTTGAATGGAGTTGGCGCTGCAGTGCACACAAGCCTTAGATGTCCTTTTTTGCAAGACTCAAAGGAATTTCCAATGTGTGCTCAGTGCCGTCCAAATTTCAATTAGCGGTTTGAGTCATGGATGTTGTAGAACCTGACGGTTTCTACAAAGGGGGAGTGCAGACACGCACAAATCAAGAAGTGTAACACTCCCACACATGTCCATTTTCAATAAATCCTGCGGTTGACGTAGCCGCTTTTTTACTTCAAGCATTGGCGAAAAACCATTGCGGCTGCGAGCTGCGATTGCCGAGTTGGAGGTGCCCGGAACTGGAAGTATCTGTTCTTATCAGTGTGACAACGAGGGGAACTACAACATAACGATCCAGGTTGGTGGCTTCTTTAGAAACCACCAACCAGTTTATTTCTTGCGGATCGCTATTAAAATTGAAGCATTCCTTGCACGATCTTGGATGCGCAGGGGACCAGCCAGACCTGCGGGAGGCTGCTGGCGAGCTGGCAGAAAGGACCATGGAACACATAGGAGGGAGGGTCACTGAAATGATGGTTTATAATGGGTAACTATCCCCGAATGCTCTTGATTCAGATTTGGGTCGGTGAACTGCTATATTATCACTTGAATCCCATTGAGCAGTGCTCTGCAGTGCCCAAAACAGAGTGGAATCCGTCAAAAACGTCCAAAACCTGGATGACGAATGAGGATGGAGAATCACTCATAAATAGCTATAGATTCCGTGGTCTTTATGGAGTGCCAACTAACAGCCATCATTAAGGGATATTGAGAGGTTGAGCCCCTGCTTAATGGAATTCAACTGAGGTCATTTGATCATCAAGTAGTGTCCTTCATGGTTCCAATCTTCAAGGATTTTCTTTGCTCATTTGATTGCCGAACAGCCTTGATCCAATCCAGACGCCCATGAGGATACGAGAGGTACTACAGCCAGTCTCAGACTCTTGGTTCAACGGGATTCAAGCGTGGCATCGCAAAACTTTTGAGTCTCTACGAAACAATCCAAAACAATCCAAAACATAGAGAGCTGAGTACATGTTTCTCTCGAGCACACAGATGAACAGGATCAGTGCAAGCCTTGTACGTGCAAGCATTTTGCGAATACGGGTGCTGCTTGCCCGTGCGTGGAGAGCATGGTGTTGCTTGAATATCAAATCTTGCACTCAATGGCAGGTCACAGTAAGATATACATGTTTTCTTTCCAAAGGCTGGCAGCCAGCAGACTTTTGCAACGACTTGAGGACTGGATCCCACTGCATGATCTTCCAAAACTGTCTGTGCTGAAGACAGAGGACAGGGTGAATCCGTTTCGTTGTTGGCCTCCAATTTCAAAGTCCAGTGATGTCTGAAGTTTTATGCCCCCAGCTATTACAACCTAGGTCTTACAAATTCTACCCCCACTTTCATGCCCAGCGCACCCATTATTGTCTAATAACCATTCACCATAGACCAATTAAACATGCCATAGTTATATATAGTTATAAGTATTTATAAGTTATAATATATTATATAGTTATAATATATAGTTATGATATATATATATAGTTATATATAGTTATATATATATAGAGTTATATAGAGTTATATATAGTCATATATAGTTTTATATAGTTATATATAGTTCTATATGGTTATATATAGTTATATATAGTTATATATAGCTTTGTAGTATTATATAGAGTTATGTATAGTTATATATAGTTTTGTAATATGATATACAGTTATATATAGTTATATATAGTTATATGTAGTTATATATAGTTATATATAGTTATATATAGTTATATATAGTTATATATAGTTATATAGTTATATATAGTTACTGTATATATATATAGAGTTTTATATAGTTATATATAGTTATATATAGTTATATATAGTTATATATAGTTATATATAGTTATATATAGTTATATATAGTTTTATATAGTTTTATATAGTTATATATAGTTATATATAGTTATGTATAGTTATGTATAGTCATATATTAATAGTTATATATAGTTATATATAGTTAAATATAGATATATATAGTTATATATAGTTATACATAGTTTTGTAGTATTATATATAGTTATGTATAGTTATATAGTTTTGTGATATTATATATAGTTAAATATAGTTTTGTAATATTATATATAGTTATATATAGTTATATATAGTTTTATATAGTTTTATATAGTTATATATAGTTATATATAGCTATAAATAGCTATATATAGTTATATATATAGTTATATATATAGTTATATATAGTTATATATAGTTATATATAGTTATATATAGTTATATATAGTTATATATAGTCATATATATAGTTATATATAGGTATATATAGTCATATATAGTCATATATAGTTATATATATTTATATGTAGTTATATATAGTTATATAGTATTATATACTATTAGATACTTACTGTTATAAACACTATTGTATAGTTTTATACCATTAGATTCTCGGCCCAGGTATACCAGGTTCCACCAGTCCCTATACCCCCAGTTGTGGCAGTTCCAGGACTCCAGGAGAAGATCATGCAGGAGGCCACGCCCAGTGGCCGGCCTCGATACGGAAGTGGCCAGCTCAGTGGCGTTTGGACAAAGAAGGTGTGCGGAACCAACAAAAATTGAAACATGTTCGAAATTGGTCGGAAACTAATAGATGTTGATGATCTTGATGACATATTGAGAGTCTTGGCATGGCGCAGAATGGCACAGAAGTCCTTGAAACCTCCAAATCACGCGCTTGTGGTCTTGAGACATTGCTCTAGCTTCAAGGTCGAACACCAAGCGCGGTGGTCACCAAACAGACTGAACATATCTCCTGGCCAGAGAAGGTGCCGCAAAAAAAAAACATCCGCTCCGCTTCCTCTAAACACATCTGAGTGCTGCTTATATGCAGATGATGGTTATATGAAACATATTGAAATATTAGTACGATTAATATGTCATAGTACTGTCATAGTACTGTCATAGACTCAAAATAAACAAAATAACCGCCGGTCCGTGGTCCAGCCGCAGCAACAGTTCGCTGGGAGGTGTTATTGTCATCCCTTTTTGTTGAAGACACGGGTGTCCGATCCCAAGTTCTTGGGGAGCCACAAAAATCAGACCTTTCGGCTAGCGGCTAGCTGAGACACCAATCCTGCATTGCCAGATTCTGATTGCATTGTTTCTACGTGTTTCTGTGCGGATGCCTTCTCAGA